TTTTTTTTTTTTTTGAATTCAGATTTTCGAAAAACTATTCAGAAGAAATCGTTATATAAACTGGTCACATGAACATCCAAGTATTTCAATCCGACGCTTTATCCCCTCCTCGGAATCCATCCCCGCAACACAACTGTGTGGAATCGATCTTCTCGGTTTGTACGCGTAAACGCACAAACTCCTAAAAGCCTGTTGTCATTTACGAGGTAATAAATCTAACGTTATTCGAACGTTAAAGCGGATTATAAAGCTACCTCCGTTCAAACGGAATAAATTCGTTCGATTTATCGATGATCGGGACGCTCGGGTGATCATCGTCTCGTTTAATTGCCATTCGTAATTTATTCCAACTTTCTAATCCTGCCTGCGCGGAAAACAAGAATGAAGAAAAGATCATCGATCTTTTCAATTAACGATACCCCCTCCCTCCCTCCGTCATTCTTCCATTTCGACGTTCGAACACCGTTTTCATCCATCCACCGTTTCATCATTATATACTCAATTAGAGCTCGTAGCCTGGAAACCTAGGGTTCAGATGTAAGGATTATTCCGTAAATCTTATCGGTGTATACATTTTGTACATGTGTACACTGTTGAAAGATCGATACCATCTGGGAATTAGAGAAACAATATATATATATACATATATATATATATATTTATATACGTGTTACTTCTATACTGTGGTTTATTAAATAAACTCTGCTACTCTCTCGGTTTTACATTTATACAAAATTGGAAAAAACAGGCGGGCACGATCCACCGATCGAGGATAAACTGTCGTTCGTTTTGAAGATCGAACATCGTATTTACAGGTCTACCGTGAATTAACGCGTGAACGACGATTATTTACACTTTATGTACAAGACACGTCGGACGATAACGCGTCTGTTATTGGCACAGATTCACGATACACTATACGGGCTCCCCCAGAGAAATTTTCTTCTTGTTGTTGTTATCTCTCTCTCTCTCTACGAATTTGTGTTTATTATACGAATGTCGATCGAGAAAAGAGAGTTTAATGTTTAGAATGGAGTTTTTTCTTTCTTTCAGAATTACTTTGGTTAGACTTTTTCGTGAAAATTATTCGACTTCCTTTCCATTTGGTCTCATTGAAAATTTTCATGAATTCGTACGCAATATGGATTGGATTATGTTTTTTTTCCTTCGTTTCTTTTCATTCCTTTAAATAACTCGAGGCTGGATACGACAAACCGATCCAAAAGTAATTCCAGAAGGGAAATTTCGAAGAAAATCCGGTTTTTACGCTTCAGTAGTATTTCTCTTGTTTCTAATTCCACGTTTTTCTCAAGGCATATTTCAAACCAAGAACCGGAACTTGTTTGGGAAAAAATTTCCGCAAAAACGTTTGATTGTTCGAAGATCGATTCAGTTCGATAGATAATGCACTCATAAATGCGCTCCGTTTCGTAGTATTTCTTTCCTCCATACTTTTTCACCTCCTTTTCTTATATCCCATCAAATATCTCAACACTTTTGGTATAAAAATCCAAAAACAATCGACTTTGATTTCTCATAAATTACCATTCATTCTCCTTCTTTCCTCCTTTTTCATTTTTCTTTAAATATCTCAATCCTCAACAGGAGGACAATTTTATATAAAAGAATCTCTTCACTTCCCATAAATGCTTTGCAGAGTTTTACTTCTTCCTTTTACCTCTTCCATTCTTCGTTCTTCTTCATCCCACAAGG